CTTCTTATCACTATGCGAAACAATTGTTGAAGGTCGTTAAATCGCTCTTGTTAAATAATGTAATTTGAAACATATTTATCAATATTATTGAACCTTCGCAAAAAATAATTGTTTAATAGGAGGTGCTATCTTCTCTCTAGAATAAACTTCGTTTCATCATAATTATCATGGAAAGAAAAATTGAACTGAATACATTCTTTATAATTTTTTAATAGACGATTTTTGAAATATTTATGGTTTTGCTGCGACGGTGTGTATCCAGAACGAGGTATAAATCATGAGTTACTTATTAAAGATTTAATGTCTCATCAATTGAAACGCGTTGGAAATATTTGGGAATAATGTTCCTAGACAAGCTGATATGGTTTTCTGTTGATTGTTCTTTTCTTCTTTTCCTCATAAATTTCCGTGTTCCGAGAATATACCATAGAAATATGAAAACTTTTTATCCAGCTCTGGCTCGTACTAATGTTCTGGCTTTTCATGACGTCATCGACATATTTGCATGCGTGCCAAGCGATATCAGACGAGCTCTCTCCTGACTGTTTGAGTTTGAGTTATAAGTTTTTTAAATATTAGTTTTTCCTATATCTAGGGTGGGTGAGCTTTAATGTCAGCTTGCCCACAGAGCTTTCGTTCAGGTGTATTGTTTGTACATTATTAATATTATTTCTAGTTTATTTTTTTCTTAAGTTACGAACTATATTGTATTTTCCCACTCAGTAATTGGCCCAAGCTGTTGAGTGGTGTATTTGTAAATAAATAAATAATATTTCTTTATATGATTTGCTATAAGAGGTATTGCCATCAGCTCGTTCTTCGACTTATTTCATGAATTGTGGCAAAACGTTTTTTTTCATTGGTCTCTTCAGTTTTGTGGAGAGCAGAAAGTCGCAGGGAGCTAAATCTAGTGAATGCGGTGTAGTTTTTGGCCAAAAAATCACGAACAACCAATGATGTGCAAGGTGGTCCTTCATTATTTGTTTTTTCACAGTTTAGATCGTTTGAGCCGCAAAATGTTTAATGACTTCCTTGTTGTATTCCTTATTAACCATACGACCTGTTGGCAAGAACTCATGATTCACCGCGCCGTTGTAATCGAAGAAAAGAGTGAGCAAAATCCCTCAAATTTGATCGAACTAGGCGTCCTTTTTTCGGTCTTGGCTCGTCTGGTCGCTTACATTGAAATGATTGGGCCTTGGTTCGACGTCAAAGCGATATACCCACGTTTCGTCACCAGTTATGAAAAATCTAGATCGTCGTTGACGTCATTCAACAACTCCTGATCGATACTAATGCGAAGTTGATTTTGCTCAAAATTGAGCAATTTCAGAACAAAATTGCATACATACGAGAAAATTGCAAGGCATGATCCGATTGATATGCTAACATCCTCTGCTACTTCCCTAATAGTGTTTCTACGATTTTCCAAAAATATTTTCTTCGCTGTTTCGATGTTTTCTTTGTTGTTGTGATTGCAACTCATCGTCATCAACATCTTCTGTAAAGCGCTTGTACAACTTATTGAACACTTTTTTGAGACAAAATGCACTCTCCGAATGCCACAGTCAACATTTTGAGGGCGTTGCAGCACTTATAACGCAAATTTAATACAGATTCTTTGATCAATTTATTCAAAAATAAAAAATCTAAGAACACACAAAAACGTAACTAAAATTTCTAATTGTCAAAAACAGAATAAATATCCAAAATGACGAATAATGTTAACATGTGAGAATCGTATGTGTACCAACATAACAGAAAAAATTTCGATAATCGAATGTGCACAGCCTGTGAAAATTCAGAATTCACCTTTTCTTCTGAACAGACCTCGTATGAGTAATAAGAATTTTTGATAACTTGAGCAACAGATTCATTCCAAGAGTTATGTTGATATATTGTATGATGTTTTTGATATTTGAAAATTTTTCATCAAATTATTTTGAAATATCGTTTAGCACTTCTTCATATTCACTATAACGAATTTCAATACGAAAATCGATCCCTGGTTTCCGAATGTTGTGCATCATCAGAAGCAGAAAATGAAAATCTTGTAAATAATATGTTCTTAATTGCCAAATGGGTATTTTTCGGAGATATTGGGAATAATACAGACCATAAAGTGAAAACATAACCTGAAACATGCTTTTTATATGCTATACATCATGTCATTAAGGTTGGATATGACCGATACAACTGACCTAGAAATGTGATTTGTTCCAGAAAATGATGATTTGTGAAGCTCCAAACTTGGAAATAATTCAATTTTTGGAACTTGTTTCAGAATTTTCATGCGAGGAATGTTTGGGAATTCATATCATTTGTGAACATAAGTGGAAGGTTTTTGAAATTAGTTTCTTCATCAATATATAATTTTTTCACCTGGTGAAAACAAAGTGATCTGTTCAAGCTCAAAAACTGAAAAGCATACGAAATGCTTGACATAATTTCGCAGTCTATTTTAGATGATTAACTATTGATTATATATCTGTTAATCAATAACTTTTTCTATGTCTCAATATTTTCGAAGGTTCATAAAATTTCAAACAATGAACAATTTTTAAGATGGATATTGAAAGGATATTGTTCCCTGAAAATATCATTTCTATTGTTAATTACGTTGGAAATTTTCATTTGCACTCTCAATCATGTTAGAATGATGAAAATTATACTTGGAAAGAGATTTCATAAAACGGTATAATATCTTTCTCAATAACAAAAAATCAGAATATTCCGAACATTCAAATATTCAGATCGAATGAAGTTTCATGCTAAAAAAATATCACTCCAATTCTTTTATCTGAATATTATTATCTTCGAGTGAATAATTTTTTATCTTATTCAGCGGTATATTGGTAATCGACTAAGCTGACCTTATTGAAGATCCAAATATTATCATAAAAATTAATTACAATTTTTTTAATTGTCAAAAGCGGATGTTATCGGGTATAAATACGATTTTGGAAGCAGTCGAAAGGCAGTTCAGTTCTTTCACTGTATTCAAGATGAAGTGCCTGATGCTCTCCTTTGCTTTCTTAGCAATCGCTTCGGCGGCTGTTCTAGACTATAACAGATATGGATTGATGAACAAGCATGAAGTAGGTCCAATCCAAGGACAGTACACTGGAATTTACGGTCAGTATCCTACCTGGAGCCAATTATGGACCAAGAACTTCTGGCATCAAAAATACGGAAAAGGTGTTTACAACAAACCAGAGGTTTATGGAGACAACGCCGTATTCGATAGAGACGCAGTTTACGAACATCAAGCCTTCTACGGTCAAAATGTTCACGAAATTTTGACACAAATCTTGTTCAGAATTTTCAACAAACAAGTGTTGATGAATCTGTACAGTGAATATCAACAGAACTGGAACCAAAATGTTTGGGAAGTGATTTTGAACCACGAAGAAATCTTCGACAAGGAAGTGTTGGTAGAACTGATCAGACAACCATTCTTGAGAAACATTCTCGTCCAAGAAGGAATTTTCGACAAATATGTTCTGCAACAAATTATGTCCTACTACAATGTTCACCAAACTTACGACCAAGTTCTTTTCGAAGAATTGGTCAACAAGGTAGCTCTCAAGAACTGGCTGTTCAAGTTGGGATTCTACGATAAATACTTTGTGTACCAATTCTTCAACAGAGCAACATATGGAAGCCCATCGAATTCAATGGAATATGGTCAAGAATATTTGATTAAAGTTGTGAGAAACCCAGAATTGAGGAGTTTTTTGGTTGAACAAGGAGTTTTCAACGAAAACATTTTAAAACAATTCCTTCACCACCTGGAAACTCAAGGAGTATACGATGAACAGCTTCTTAGACAACTCATCAATAAGCAATTTCTGAGAAATTTCTTCGTCCAACAAGGTTACGACTATCACTTTTTGAACCAAGTAGTCGCTGATGAAATTTACGGTCTGCATATTTTCTTGAAAATGCACAATTACCATCAAGTTCCTGAATATTACTACAGACAAGTTGGAGATATGAGCTACTATCCAGAACATATTTTCGAGTCAGTTCATCAGTTCCCATATGGTGCAAAATCCGTTGGTTATGAAATGGAAAAGAATATTGTGAAGCCCTACAACAAAATGGGTCGTGATGCTTTCTTCCAAACTGAAAAGTGAGTAGATTATTTCGAACCAAATTTTGTTTCTAAAAGATTTTTTCCCAGGTACCAAAAATCTCCTTTCTTCTGGAACAGATTCGCATCCTACAAAACGAACTACTTTCCCAGATTTGCCTTCGACAAACAAGGACAAACTTTCAGCGGTAAATATTTCACAGAATTATATGATGAAATACTTTCAATATGTAATTGTCACAGTATTTTTATTTCTCCATTCTTGCAGGTGTATTCGACAGATTCCAAGGAAGGCAATGAGTGCACTACCAACCTCCAGTTGTTGAGTACTGAATTTTCAAGATTTTATACATCAATATGTAAATTATGAGAAAATAAAAAAAAATGTGAAGTAAAAATTATTTGAATGATATTATTTACTTAATACTTTCACAAATATTCCTGAAATATTGATTTCAAAACAAATTGAAACGAAAACTTATCAACAGTGATTTACACTTCCTCACTCGAGTGCAAGGACATTCGAGTTGTTGCGAATCTATGTAAACTAACAACATAATTCATTTTGACAAGATGATAAAGGTTGAAATTGATGTGATAATAATATGGCCAAATATATGGCCAAATACAAAACGTATCGAAGGTAGTGAATTTTGCAAATATATATTCTAGAATTCATAATAAGAAAATATCTCAAAATTGACCCAAGGTACACCTTCCCCAGGTATATATATATATATATATATATATATATATATATATATATATATATATATATATATATATATATATATATATATATATACCCTGGGAGGATGAGAAGGTGTTTACTCACTTTCGTGCAGTTTGCGCTTGCGACAAAAAGAATAATTAGATATAGTCGACATTGCATCGCGAAGTGTAGACCTCGGCAGCTTAGTTGGTAAAGTAACTGGGCGTAAACCTGAGAGAACTGGGTTCGTATCCCAGTCGAGGTTGAAAACTTTTGTGATGTAATTTCGATTCCAAAATGCACATATAAAAATATTTCTTCATACATAATATGATCCGTACGTGCATGGTTAGTGCGAATAATATTTACATTAATATATATATATATATATATATATATATATATATATATATATATATATATATATATATATATATATATATATATATATATATATATATATATATATATATATATATATATATATATATATAATATTATTTATATATATATATATATATATATATATATATATATATATATATATATATATATAATTATATATATATTTATATCCATATAATTGAATGGTGGGAACTCTACCCAACTTTTGTAGGGGCTGCAGTGTATATTTGGGTCATATATGGAGTCCTTTATTACGATATATCAGCTGGTTATACCGATAAAATTTTTCATAAACAATATAAAATTAATATAAGAAAGAATATATATTTTGAGGAGTCATACTGATTCATGAGAAAATTGATAGATATGCCAACGATTCACGCTATAGACATTCTGCAAAGATGACATGATCCATCTTCAAAATATTTGCAAACCGATTTATCAAATAACAAGGTGAAACACAACTGAAACCTCTAATCAAGTTCCTTGTATTTGCAATCTGAAAAGCCGGCAGTTCTAATCGTCTTCGAACGCTAAACATATATAAAATTCGTGCAATGACCTTTGATATTGATCAAAGACGTAGACACAAGAGACCAATGTAAATATATGAGTAAAAATAATTTACAGGTTGTTGTATACAAAATTTCCGATAAATATGTGGAAAATTTCAATGAATTTCCTCAAAAAATTATCAGGTATAATTCGTGTTGTTTGGTAAGTTTTGAGCCAAGAATTTATTAAGAAGGTTCTTTGCCAACAAAGTTTGGACAGTAATATTTTATTATCCAAAAGTACATATAGAGATGCTCAATTTAGAATAAATGTTCGAAATGGCCTCTTCTAGCCTGGAAACAAATATCCTATTTCTCGTCAGTCCCTTTCAAACAGATCAAACACATCCTGGTCGTTTCTAATTGAGTTAATCGCAGCCATTCTCCGATTTCACTATCGTCTGAATTCACCACTAGGTTAGCGTAAACTAATGACTTCACCAATCTGGAAAATATATATGAAACACAAACAAAAACATTTATAGAGTCTACGGTGAACACACGGATAAGTTCTAGGGCGTTATTTCTTGACCTACTCTAGAAGTATTAAAATAAATTAAACTCTTAGCTTAATGTTTCACGATTTATTTAACATATGTATAGTCAACATGTTTCGAGCGTTAGCTCATTTTCAAGACTAAACTACTATAAGAAACGTACAACAAATTTATATCTACAAAATGGATGTGAGTAACATTAACTACAGTAATGGATGTGAAACATGTTGACTATACATATGTTAAATAAATCGTGAAACATTAAGCCAAGAGTTTAATTTATTTTAATATTCGATTATGTTTCACCAAGAGTTAAGCGAGAATTCAATCTCATTCTTTACTCTAGAAGTATTTTGAACCTTGATAACTTTTTTTGAATCGAAGATATCAGAAGATTATAGAAGAATATAAGATCAGTAACAGCAGTTTTTCAAAGATCAATGAATGTTCTATCATTTTCCAAAGATTATGAAATCAGCTAATAAATCAGCGATCTCCATAAGTTCATATTGAAAATCAAGAAAGAACAGTAGTCTCTCTTATACTCCAGTATGATTGCTAATTATTTTTTCAAACGCTGTGCTTCTCTGAAATATGGACGTACAGTTCGAAGACGATTCCGAACTGACCAAGAACACGGTGGGAATCGAATCCATCAGCCCTTGTAAGCCGAAAGCAATATAGAGTGAGTATACCATTCGACTACTGAACCTCTAAAGCGCAACATTGTGAATAAATCATATTTCATGCTAGTTGCATGTTTTACCGAAAATCAGATATCTCTGCTTACAAGTAATTGTATTACACTCTACCCTGTAGAGACTACAGTAAGCCTTTGTGGTCTAATGAGATGGTCACCTACAGTTCCATCCCAAACATTTAGAGATATCTGCTGTGGAAAACGACCTGCAAACAAATGAGATCGCACAAGGCTTTCGTATTTAGACTTGCACAGTTTTAGACAAATATAATTATTCAATTATATTGAAACATAAACTTCATATACTCATTTGAAATAGGATATAGTGAGTAAGTGGATACTAATGATACATTTTAGTGATACCAACGATAGGAACTAGATTCAGTGAATAATGGTGATGTCAACAAGACATTCCTCAGATAGCGGTAGTTACTAGAAAAGGACTCGTTAAGCTGTTTTACTTGAAAATAGTTCATGCTAGTCACATCATATTCAATAAAAAAAATTTCCGTATATTATCTCCTATAATTTCTATCATATAATAGAATTATATAACTATATTTTCTCTTTTGTCTGTACATTAAATTCAACTCGTGCAGTTTAAATTTCGTGAACGATTGATTATAAATGGTATACAACTTCCCAAAAACTTCTTCTTTGCTTTTTGCAATGTTCATAAATGATATAATCATTTATGATAATAAAATAGCAGCTCAGTAACATATATTAGCAATTCAGTAACATATATTAACAGATCATAATGATAATAATGATGTTGAGGGTTTATTGTTCGCAGATGACTTTAAGATTTTTCATTATGTTTCCAGCATTGGTGACTGTGAACGCATTCGAAGAAACGTGCGTACTTAATATTGTGAGTTGGTGTGATTTCACTAAATTAAACCTTAACATCTCCAATTGTCATGTTATGTCGTTCTCCACAAAATATAATTTGATAAATTTCGACTATGAAATTGGTGATCATATTTTGGGAAAACCTATTACATTTATTGACCTTTGCGTAACCTTTGATCCTCAACTAACTTTCGTGCCAAATATCAATGCTACAGTAGAGTTTATGGTTATTATTTGCATTGGTAAGGAATTTAGCAATATATCAAATCTGAAAACATTATATTGTGCTGCTTTCGTAAGATATAAATTCGAATACGGATCAACAGTCTGGAATCCTGGCTATCAGTTACACATTGATCAACTGGAGTCTATAAAACGAAAGTTCCTGAAACTTTTGAGTTTCAGAATTGATGGAATATGTCCACCTATAGGCATACAATATGAAATGCTTACAAGTCGACATAATGTGAACACATTCAGTGCGCGAAAAAAATGCCATACAACAATCTTCTTGCATAAAATAATTAACAATAAACTGAAATGTCAGGAATTATTACATAAGCTTAACTTCTTTTAAATTGTTTCAAGAGTTTCTTCTAGAACGAATGTTCTAAAAGTTTTTCCATTGCACACGATGTGCGAACAATGTAACATTTTGGGAGCTAAGGTGGATATTTTCAATTGTTCTCTTACTGATATTAGGACTAGTTTCCTTGATATACATAATCTCTGCTACAACAATCATTTATGTGTATTCACGAAATTAATTGATATTCACTCATATAATTATGTGTGTATAAGTGTTAATATGTGAAAGCAAATTTATTCGTGTGTTCAAATGCATATGCATGTATAAGTTTGGTCAGCATTTAAGTTTTTTCATTCCTATAATTATTAAATTTCATTTTATCAGTTGTGATTCATATCACAAACTCTTTGATTTGAAATGGAACTTTAAAATTTGAAAATACAAAATTGAAACTTTTGCATACCAATTTTGTTTTTTGTATATGTTGTGTTTCCTATTTTGAATTAGAACCTGTCCTGTAAAACCGTGTTTGTTAAATAAACAAATGAATAAATAAATGACAATATTCACAAGATTACATTCACAACGTATTTTTTGAGTACTTTCGGTTTTCTTTCTGATGTCATTCACATTGCGTCAAATTAATAATAATAATAGTCCTTCATTATTATATTTATTTATATATTCTTTTATATGAATATATAAACATATATGAATATATATCTATATATTCATATTAATCGATTTAACATATATAGTGTTATTTTAGTTTCAATGAAATAGTTAAAAACATGATTAGTGCGAGGTAATAATAAATACTTGTCTAAAAATCACTGACTGAACAATTCTTTATTCGACTAGTTTCGCCTTTTACGGCATTATCAATGTAAAAGGCGAAACTAGTCGAATAAAGAATTGTTCATTTAGTGATTTTTAGACAAGTATTTATTATTACCTCTCATTCAAATTGAACTATCACAGAGTTGATTCATCGTCCTCTACCTCTACATTTTCAAGCGCAGACATTTTAGAGTTTGCCTAAATTGTGTGTGCATATGCTAGTATTAGGTCTACATATGGTTTAATATTTTTTAACTGCACCCTCAATACATATTCGTCTGTTTCCATGCGTTAGGCATCTGAAATTTTTTCTCTTGATATTGTTTTCTTCTTCATTGAATGTGAGTGAAGGTTGAAATTTAATTTATTGTCGCGCAATATTTCATGGATGATGATGGTACGATATTCATTCCGTTTATTCATTTAACATAATGAATCAATATTTAGAATTTTCTCATAATTTAATACAAATTCGCATGACGACGTTTCGAAGTACTACTTCTTTATCAAATGCTGGATGAATACTGATTTATCCAGCTGTATTAATGTAATTAATGTATTAATACAGTATTAATCCAGCATTTGATAAAGATGTAGTACTTCGAAACGTCGTAATGAGTATTTGTATTGAATTATGAGAAAATTCTAATTACTGTTTCATTATGGATATTAATTTTCTCCAAGTATCGGCCTCATCAATCATCATTTAACATACACTGTTTTACAGGTACTGATTACAAAACAGGAAACACAAATATACTTAAAACAAAATTGGTAGTAAAAAAGTTCAGAAGTTTCAATTCTGTACTTTCAAATTTTAAAATTAAATTTCAAAACAAAGAGTTTGTGATATGAATCAAAACTGATAAAGTGAAATATAATTAT